ATCTTTAAGTAAAGATAGAGAATATCAAAAAAGAAAGAGTCTGAATGTTAACAGAACTAGGCACACATTACTTTTTTTTTTTTTTTTTTGAGCTGGAGTCTCATTTTTTCACCCAGACTGGAGTGCAATGGCCGCTCCCGGCCACCGCAGCCTCACCTGCTGGGCTCCGGTGATCCTTCCACCTCGGCCTTCCGAGTAGCTGGAACTACAGGCACGCACTACCACGCCCAGCTAATTTTTTGATTTATTGTAAGATGAGGTCTCGCCAATTTGCCCAGGCGGGTCTCGAACCCACGGGCTCAGGCAATCCACTCACCTCAGCCTCCCAAAGGCACGGGATTACAGGCTGAGCCACCAAGCCGGCTCACATTACTCTTAATTAATGCTAAGTCCTTTCTCATCCTATCACTCTGGAATGGATAAGTCTTTAACCTATACCTTCCTCTTCCCATTGATCCTTACTTTTCAGATATTAGTCAATCACTATCAAGACATGGTTTTAAATACATTTAGAAGAAACAAATTTTTTTTCCAGAACAGACCAACAATATAAAGTAACAGAGGTAAAAATCCTAGAAGTTGCCTGGCTGCCTTAATAACCCCAAAGAAAACATTCATTTTAGCCAAACAATTGTAATGTTTGTCTCCTTTTTAGAAACATCTGCTGCCAAAATAAACATTTGCATTGGAAGAAGTGTTTTGGCTGTTAAGATGGTACCAAATAAAACACTTATGTTCTGAAATATTTATTTTACTCAAAAAACACGCAGCAAAATAGAACAGCCACAGAGTGCAGAAGATAAACTAAAGATACAAGTTAAAATACCTATTACTTTTTAAAGTCTTCTTCAAGAGAACCTGTTTTTAATTCAGTTTTTATTTAGATTTAAAGTGATAAATTCAGATGTATCAAACTAACATAAATAATTTCTATTTAATTTTGCCACCTTATCTTTCAAAACAATGATCATATTCCATGTTCCTACCATAAAGGTCTTCACAATACAGCTATGTCTTTAAAAACTACAAAAGTCATGTTTTCCCATCATAAAAGCACTCATGAACTTAAATCTCACTTTGCTTTTTTTCTTTTCCCCAGTTTTATAGGTCCAATAGGCATCATATTATTATACATCTGCAACAAAAATAGTTAAAATAGCAACCCAATTACCCCAAAACACAGGAAAAACCTCAGACTACATAATTGAAATATGCTTGACACAAATAAATTACTTAGCTTCTGTAACCTATTTCTCCTGAGTGCTATTTATTTTATATGAAAATCTGTCTTTAAAGCAAGTTGGCAAAGGCCTATATGTATATTTATGATCACAGAGGACAAGAAAAGCAAAACAAAAACCTCTGCTCACCCACATTCCTGATACAGCACAAAATACCCTGGTATCTAAGTGTGAAAAAAAAATCAGAAACACTCAGAATCAGATTCTAGTAACCCTAAAAATTATACATCTTCTGTGTAGCTATGTATTAGATGAAATCAACCAGTGGACTTGTGTTAACGATCCCCAAGTTTGAATTCCAGGAGCCTGGAGGCAGAACATTCTCCACAGAGGCATAGAAAATTCATTTCCCCTCTCAACTCAATAAAAACCCAAGCAGACTAGTTTTTAGGACACCATGCAAAACTAATCTATTTTAGCCATGTATTTGCCTGATGATGTGGGAGAATCAGCAAGTGAAAGACCACAAATCTAGTTCCAGTTAATAAAGACTAAAATGATGTACTATTATCATGTCATGCTTCAAAGACCCAGTCATAAGTATGTATTTCAAAACTGAAATTATCACCATACAAATCAAGAATCACCAGGTTAATACTAAAATCAAACACTCAGTGGTCAGCTCCTCCTGACTCTCAGAAACAAAAAATAAGCAGTAATAGTAACCATGTTAAATTTCATATAAGCACTGCAGTTCTTTTGAACACAATACTCATTTAAAATTCATATCACAGGAGTAGAATGCCAGCCAGGAATCAAACTGTGACCCCTGAGCCAAAGACAACTTACCACTCAGCCGGTAAGTAGGCAACTCAATTTACAAACTTGAATTCCTGCATTTTAATCCTTTGCAGAAATATATAAGCAATATTAAATGAACTGGATTCAGCTCATTAGAGGCTCACAAACCAAACAGAGAAAGCTTTGGAAGCCATCCAAAGCAAAGTTATGCCTAGGTGATGATGTCCACTCAATAAATACTCAATGTCATAATTATCTTCCAACTTTTTCCCGTAAGAACATTAGTAGCCACAACTACAACAATGCTCAGCCAATTACATGAATCCTAGGAGAAAGATGGATAAGACCAGCAGCCAATCACAGTGCTAGAAAATCTTGTTTGTGAACAAATTTTTAATTACCCAAAATTCACAAACAAAGCAACTCACTGAAAATTTCTCACTAAAGAATACAGACTAAAGTCAACAAACTAAATGTATGTGCTCTAATAATCTTTGCTTAAAACTTTCACTTTTTTTCCATTTCAAAGCCATTAAGAACTGTCCACATGACCTTGGTATTATAAAAGCTATATGTCTCCTTTAAAATGTTACACACATTCAAAAATGCATTTACTGCTGTTTTTAGGCTTTTAAATTTCAAAATAAAATACTATATTTCAAAGCTGTATTATAACTAAAATGAAAGGGTAAAAAAACAATACAAATTATTTAGACCCTTGACTTTAACTTTATGAAAGTTTGACATTTCTGGAGACCGGATATGCAGTTTCTTACCAGATATACTATCTACCTTTTATTATCAGAAAGACCTGTGCTTAATTAAAATCGAACATTTCTTTTGGCTAACAGTAAAATACCTAACCTAAAATCTTAATTAAAAATTTGCTGAAATACTTGATGGGCACAATCTACATCAATTTGTCCCTTCAAATAAATCTATGAGTGGTTAGACTTCAGAAGTATGTAAGAGTCACAGGGAATAGATAAAACCAAGAAGCTAAGAAAATTAGGATTACTCTATATATCTGTGTATGTCCTCTACTTTTAGCTTTTCACAAAGTAAGACTTTAACTCCTTCAGAGAAAACACAAAGGAGCTTGCCATGAATAGCACCTTTTGAAAATGACTTTTCAAAACAAAGAGTGGCAGGTATCCACTTCTCTACCCTGATCTTGCCACTTCTTACTACCTTTCTATCTCTGCTCTCCTCCTGTGGCCAGAGCATCATACAGGACTGTTACCCAAAAAATGAAATCAGCTACAGAATGCAATGAGGACTTTACCAGCCAGCTGCCTATGTGTTTTTCTCCCTTAAAAAAGAGTGAATTAAGTAGCTCTACACTGAACTGAGGAAAAGACAGAGAAAATCACAACTCTCACACCTGACTTTTCATCATTTCCAAATTATTTCCCTCACATAATTAGCGTCACAATTAAAGGTTTTTACTCTAGATAGTAAAATACTGCAGGAAAAAAGGAGTGGTGTGGAAAAAAATAAGAGTACAATTTAGTATGCAACTGACTAGAACTCTGAGTGGCTAATCTTCAATTCAATAATTAAGGGGTGAGATCTTCAGACAACAACAAAGGCCATTTAAGGAATCAACAGCTTGAACACAACTGCCTTAGCATAAAACATCACCCGAACAGGAGTAAAGATAAAGAGGAAAGATAATATAGAATTTTTTTATTTCTTTTTTTTTAGAGACAGAATCTCACTATGTTGCCCAGACTGGACTCAAATTCCTGGTCCCCAACAATCCTCCCATCTTGGTCTCCCGAGTATCAGGTACCACAGGTGAGTGCCATCACACCTGGCTAACACAGACGTATAACAGACAAAATTACAATTAATAAATTCCAATAACATATTAATAATAAAATAAATAATAAGTTACAATACAGATGGAAGAGTCTATAAAAGAGAAGGCTCAGGGGCAACTTACTAATGAATTCTTAGTACACAGTTATGTATCATATAAAGTATAATAAACCCACTTTAGAAAGAACAAAAGTTTTATCTAATTTTTTTTGCCCCAACAAAAGATATTTGGTCAAATAAATGGAAGAATTTCCTGAGAAAAAGTACTGCTAACCCCTGGTAGGGCATACTGGACAGCAGCATTTGAGAATGTCCTTGTCTAAGGGACAGTAAAATGTGCACTGGCATCAGCCTGACCCCCTCCCTGGGGACTTAGGGCATGGTATGGCAATTTATAAATAAGCCCTTCTGGTGTTCCTAGTAACTAAATACCCTAACAAGCCTGAATCTAATCTAGTCTTTTCCAAATTTCATGCTTCCTCCTGCCAACCTAACAAGGGCATACTCTCAAGTATCCAAAGACTGTATATCTACTACTGTTAGAAGTAAATGGTCATTTAAGGTAACCCCATTTGATTTTAGAGAAAAAGGAGACAAATATTGGGTCTCATGATTAAGAACAGGAAAAGTCTTCTTTGTTTTAAGTAAAAATACAAATCCATCAAGATCTAAGAAAACAGATGCACACTGGATCTCCGCATACGAAATAGAGGAATCGTTTTCTAAAGGTACGGAAGAAATAGCTTGTTTAAGAAATGAAAGCAAAAACTCTGGGAGACTAAAAAACAAAAAAAAATTTTTTTTAATTTTAAAAAGCTGATGTCGTCCTCATGGAAAAGACCTTTAAATGACTTGAAAATTCACCATAAGATTAATCTATTCACAGCTCAGAGCTTATATCTATACAACCTGCTACAAATTTATGACATGGTCCATGTTTCAAATATAGCTAGTACCACTAGCCTTCTACCAAACAGGTGCTTTGTTCTAAGAAGCTCATCCTTCCATCTTTAAAAGAAAGAAAAACAAAATTATACCTATGACTGTTTAAAGAAACAATTTTTTAAAATTTGTAAAGCAGAAATTCAGTGAAATGCACCCTAACTCTCTTCAACATCAATCTTAAGTAGACCATAAAAGACAAAGAGAAAACTATCACAAAAGGGCGGTGAGGGGGTAGAAACTAGCACAAACCTGCTGCTGTGGGTACTGCATCCCTCCCATGGCCCCTGGAGTCCGACCCTGGATGCCGATTGGATACCGCTGTGGGCCTGGTGGGCCATAGGAGCCTCCTGGATATGGACTGCTCTGCTGAGGCTGAGAATGAGGGTTACTGCCCATCCCATACAACTGAGGTCTCTTCATCACCATTGGATCCATTGGGCTGCCCTGTGAAGAAAGAGGAGGCCTATTAATTCACTATCTATTACAAAGGCAGAAATGTTTGATATGTTAACATATGCATTAATAGCACAACTATCCTTAATTCTGAAAATATTACAAACAATGACCTGACAAACAAATAACCCAGAAGAGCATTAAGGGGAAAAGAAACGAGACGAATACAAGACATTTTATTTTTTGCCTTTAGTAAGGTTTTAACAATTAAGAAGGATCTGGAGTAGACAATATTTTAAAAGATTTTGCATTCTAAGCAGAGAGAAACACTTGCATCTAAAATTCTACTATGCATATAGGCAATGAGCATGCTACTTAATCTCACCCACCTCCTTCTCGCTTACTAGTAATAATGGCAGAGGACACCAAGTGATTAGCAACATTTTCTGATTTCAAAGTATTCTTAGAACAACGATTTGATTTTAGACCTGAGTCTGCAAGTCTTGATCAAACATAAGCGCAACTGGGTATTTATTTAAAAGTGAAGCCGGGCTCGGTGGCTCAACCTGTAATCCCATGCTTTGGGAGGCCGAGGTGAGTGGATTGCCTGAGCCTGTGGGTTCAAGACCCGCCTGGGCAACTTGGAGAGACCTCATCTCTACAATAAATCAAAAAATTAGCCGGGCGTGGTAGCGTGCGCCTGTAATTTCAGTTACTTGGAAGGCTGAGGCAGAAGGATCGCCGGAGCCCAGCAGGTCAAGGCTGCGGTGACCGGGAGCGGCCACTACACTCCAGTCTGAGTGACAGAGTGAGACTCCAACTCAAAAAAAAAGTGAAAGAAGGCCAGACACAGTGGCTCAAGCCTGTAATCCCAGCACTTTGGGAAGCGGAGGTGAGAGGATTTCCTGAGCCCAGGGTTTTGAGACCAGCCTGGGTTACTTGCTGAGATCTCATCTCTACAATAAAACAAAAATTAGCTGGGCTTGGTGGCACACACCTGTAGTTGTGGCTACTTGGAAGGCTGAGGCAGAAGGACCACTTGAAACCAGCAGGTCAAAGCTGCCCACTCTGCACTCCAGCCTAGGCGACAGAGTGAGACTCCAACTCAAAAAAAAAAGTGAAAGGATAGATTTTAGATAACACAAATGTCCGGGGAAAGATTTTCAAAGACCACTAGTTTTAGGAACAAGCACCTAGACTATGATTCACAAGCCACCTTTGCTGTGTAAGTCAGCATCTTACCAAACATAACCAATTCAAAACTAGACTCTGAATTTTATTTTTGGTTTGGTGAGTCAGTCCCTGGGCCTCAGGGCCAAGGCCATATGGGAGAGCCAAGAGAGCAGCCTGTGTGGCCTTCATGCCCTGGGAAGGTTCCCACCCCTGCGCTAGAGGCCGGCAACTCGCTCAACAGCTCCTTCCGTCCCTTATTCTCTCCTTCCTCTCCCCTCCTCCCCTCAGTCATCCCTACTGTGTGCCAGTCTCTACATTCCCACTGAGATAAGTACATGGGGGCTCATAGGATAGCTTAAGGATTACTAGGATAAATGGGAGTAGCAGGTTCAAGGTAGGGTGACACAGGACATAGAGTACCACAAGGCAGAAGAAACTGCACAGAGCACCACCTCAAGGAAATGAATGGCCCGGTGTGAATGAGCAAACAAAATCAGTCTGGACCAAGTGAAGCATGAATTTGCAGAGAAGAAGCTGAAGCACACAGAAGCCAGACAGGTGAGCCTGGCAGGCCCTTCTAAAGGCTCAGATGGTCCCTGGTGGATAAACTATAGGACTACTCCCTTGGACAACTGGCTGGCAGCAGATGTGTCAGTGAGGCTGACAACCTGAACTGGCAGCAGTGGTGGGAGGAAGCAAACCCAGATCCAAGTCACATGTGAGAGGGAAACACAGCAGGACTTGGAGATCAAGTGAGTGATGGAAGACGGGACTTGACAGAGATACCAACTGAGACAGTATGCAGGGGAGAAATCAATCACCCTATCCCCAGGAGTGGGAGCCTTCAGTGTTCTGTATATAAAGTTTGAGGTCCTGATGGGAAATCCAGGTAAAAATACACAAAAAGAAGAGACATATTGAGTTTGCAGTTTGGAAAGTAAGGTCTGACCTAAAAAAACAGGTAGATAAGTCAGCAGATAGAGGACATATGCTCCCAGAGGGCAGGGATTTTTTTTTTCTGTTTTTATTCACTATTATATCACCAGGAAATAAGTCAAACAGTACCCAGCACATAGTAAATGCTCAATAAATATTGGATGAATTAATCAACAAGCAATAAGACCCACAACTTTATTCAGGAAAAAAATATGAAAAGTAAACAATGAGCAGTGGACAAAATCCTGAAGAATATCATCAATTAAGGGAAAGTGGGAAAAGAGTCCATGAGTCTAAGGAATGGCCAGAAAATGTAGAGATTCTAGAGGATATGTGTTATAGAAGAGAAGGGAGTCATGTATAGCAACAAAGCAGGCAAGTCAAATGCCACCGGGGACCAAGAAGGTGAAGGTTAAAGGCTTCCGCTACACTTACCTAGAAGTAACTGCTGAGCTTTGCAAAAACAAACTCACTGCAGAGGTGAGGTCAGAAACTAGAAGAGGAGGAATGGAGGTATGAAGAGGAGGTGAGGAGGAGAGCCAAGAGTGTAGACGCACTTCCAATCCAAGGCCGTATGTGGTCCTTCCCCTTCTTCCTTCGTGGTTGCCCTGGTGTTCACTTGAAGAAACTGATTAACCCATTTACCACACATTGACTAAGCACCCACTATGTGCACTATGGCCAGCACAGGAGGTGAAAAAATAAAAACACATCTCAGTGATTGTTCTGGAGAGTCACTGAAGAAGACAGACTTACATCACAATCTAAAGCAGCAGCCATACTAAACGGACAAAGCACTTGAGAAGGGAGCATCTCACGGGGTCTGTGATAGCTCTAACAAAGGCTTCCTATAAGAAATACCTGAGCTCAGATCTCATCTCCACAATAAATCAAAAAATCAGCCGGGCGTGGTAGCGCATGCCTGTAATTCCGGCTACATGGAAGGCTAAGGCGGAAGGATCGCCGGAACCCAGCAGGTCGAGGCTGCGGTGGCCGGGAGCGGTCACTGCACTCCAGTCTGGCGACAGAGTGAGACTCCAACTCAAAAAAAAAAGAAAGACTCACAGGGATTTGCCAAGAACTGGTCTTACCTGATTGATTGCAGCTATGTGGAATGGCGGACAGGAGGAAATAGGGTGTTGTGTCCTATGCCCCACAGCCTACAAAGAACAGTTCTGTTCAAAATTCACAAGTTTACAGAACTTTAGCTGTATAACTTTCACCAGTCAAGAAAAAGTTTGGACTTAAAATGATAGAAATTGACAGTATATTATTTTGCTCAGACAATATACTGATGTTACACAACCTGTGCTGGATGCACAATTAAATGTACAAACATGTATGTTGATATATTTGTAAGAACATTAAGTCTAGGACAAAAATGAGTGTTCTCAGAATTATTTAAATAAGAATGCATGCCTAAGAAAAGCAAAATGTGATTATTTTCCAGATTTGCTTTCAAAAGATAACGCTTTCTCTGGAAGTGTGAAAGTCAAGGCTGAGCTGGTGATTTCAAAATCAGCCAAGTGAATGAATGGCCTATGGAGAGACTGAGTAAATCAAATTTCAGGCTGAATTTCCAATACAGGGTGCCCTGAGGCAGCCCTATCTTCACATTCAATCTGGGTTGCCACTTTAGTGCACGACCAAAACTGTCTTAATTAAAGCAGAAATTTTAAATGGGAAAATGATTGGAATGTCTATGTTTTAATGCTATAGATAACAGCGCAGCAAATTCATCTTATCAGTGACTAAAACTGTTTTGTAATATCTGTCTCATCACTGCCATCAACTCTCACAGTCCTACTTAAAATTCAGTTAATATGCACCCATGTCAAAAATGTTAGCTTAACTCTGAGATTTCTGAAAATCGAAAGCATGAAGTACACAGATTATCCGCACCTCTCAAAATGTAACAAATATCTTCAATGAAGCTTCAAATATAATAACAGATACTGATATAGTGCAAATTATTTAATTTTAATCTTAAGTTCTTACAGCCTATTATTATTCATCCACAATCCAAATTCACCCTGTGTACTCTTACTATTTTTAACATTAAATATGTACAACTGCAGTATCTCAATCCCTACTTTTCCCTACTATCTCCTTAAACTCTTAACACTTCCAGAAAACATAAATGTCAAGTTGCTTCTCATATTCAGCATCTAACCTGAAACAATTTTGTTTTATCATCTATTTTCTATTAATATGTTTCCAGAATATGACCATTTTCATTTCTCATATAAAATTTATGCTGTATCAGGGTTATCATCCACATCAAGAATAGTCCTCAAATACTTCTTTAAATATGTTTTCCAAGCATGCTTTCCCTTCCACAAAGCATTCCACAACTGCTGCAGTTTGAGTTTTAATTTCATAAAATAAGACAAGTGCTTTGAAGACCACAATATATACCACCAGTTTCAGAGAGCTCTTAAGCTGACTTGTCTGGTTACTAGGCTTCTAGTGCAATTTTATTACTTGATAAGCCTTTCTTCCTCTTTATTCAAATAAGCTTGTGGATAGAGATGTGCATGTGAGTTATACCTCTCTCTCTCACACCCACACACACCCTTGCCAGGATCCCCTCTTGGGAAACTGCCACTGCCACCTACATCCTCCAAGAGCCTCAGGCTTCCCATCCTGGGACTATTAACTTAGGAAGAAATACCATGTATATTTTTATGATATATATTTTTATATAGATTCTAAGCATGTTGGGTAGCACAGTTCAGCTGTATTATAAGTTAAACAGGCTTCTAGACACTGGCTTGGGACTCCAACTACCCTTTTGAAAATTACCCAATTAAAGCACAACTTGCTTATATACTTTTGGTAGACTGTAGATACACTTCAAGCTTTTATACTTAGATACACCTTCATTATCACTCTTTCAGAGTATGCCTACACATGTATTTATAGTAAAGATAGCTATAAAATAGCATTGTTCCTAAATACCAGGCAAAGGACATAGTTGAATAGAGGTCTCCTTACGAATACAGTATTTCACTATTTTTCCAGCCCAATTTCTTAAACCACAAATTGGAGAAAAGCCTTGAAAAAAAAAAAAAAAAAAAAAAAAAAAAAAAAAGGGCTGGGCTCCGTGGCTCAGCCTATAATCCCACGCTTTGGGAGGCCGAGATGAGTGGACTGCCTGAGCCTGCGGGTACGAGACCCGCCTGGGCAACTTGGCGAGACCTCATCTCTACAATAAATCAAAAATTAGCCGGGCGTGGTAGCGTACGCCTATAGTTCCAGTTACTTGGAAGGCTGAGACGAAAGGCTCGTAGGAGCCCAGCAGGTCGAGGCTGCAGTGGCCAGGAGCGGCCACTGCACTCCAGTCTGGGTAACAGAGAGAGACTCCAACTCAAAAAAAAAAAAAAAACCCACAAAAAGAACTATCACATGTTGATCTATAATCATGTCTACATATCTGGATTAAACAAGATCTCATAGAAAAACTCTTCCCTTCTCGATTCATTGTTTGGGAGACAATGTTCTCTTACCAGTAACTAAAGAAAACTTTTGAAACTTGTTCCAATTCTAATACTCCTGCTCAAAGGGAGCTAGGGAAGACTGCTTAATCCAACATGTCTGCAGCTGTGTGATGTGTCACACTGCCCAGCAGGGAAGCAGGAGCTCTGGATTCAGAGTGGATCCACAGCCCTGTCCCACCACTGACCACTACTGGTGACCTTGAATACATTGTGACCTTGTTTCTTAGTTTTCTCATTCACTAAACAGGAGAAATAAAACCTATGTCACAATAATTGTGAACGTCAAATTAGTTAGAACTATAAAGGCGCTCAGACTTCAAAAGAGTGAGACCAGGCACTTGGAGCCCAGGAGCCACTGACCAACTGAGAACAGCTGCAAAAACCTAACTGTTAGAGAATCGGTGAACAAGCCATAACGTATCAACAAAGTGGAAATACAGAGACATGGAAAAGGCCATACAAGACAATATTAATGTTATGAAAATTGCAATGCACACAAATTATGGCCATGTGAAACTAGGCTGATAAGAATCGAGCAGCCACAGTGACACAGTTGCTGTCCTATCGGGAAGCAATCTGTGTTTACTTTTCTGTGACAGTGTCTAAATATAGCTCGAAACTGCCTCTGTTTTTCCCTAAGCACACTTCAAACACTGCTCTTGCTCTCTGCAGAGGGCGGGAGGCAGCAACACAGCTGCCCAGCACTGGGCTTCCTCACTCCAGCACCACCACACTGCCTACCCACAGCAAGCCTCATACAGGGCTGGTTGGCTGGGGACCATGGAGGTCCCTGCATCACGCCCAGCAGCATTTCTGTCTACAGGACCTGCCATGTGACAGCCTTCTGCATTGCCTGGTACTGTTACCTAACTCCTGTACTACTTTTCCATTTCCGTGTGTTATGGCACATCTCCAGTAACTGCCTGGAGTGCTGACTACTCATGTAAAGCAAAAGGCTCTTAAAGATCAAAAGTAAAAATCACTCCTCAACTCTATGTCAATTCTGTACACACATACAGAAGACACATGTAAGGTCGGTGAGAGACTATGGAATGCACACGATTGGTAAGGTTGTTCTCTCAAAGAGTTTAAATCAGTTCAAGTCAAAGGAGTGGGCACTGAAGAATCTCTACCTTACTTCATAGTCCGTGCCAATTCCTCTCCAAGCCATCTGTCATGCATTTCCAAAGCAACTTAATAGATTCTCAGGTGATCACAATCCTTAAGACACCTCATCAAGGAGTCAGCAATGAAACTCGGAACCTTAGAACTGACAAGAGCCTCATTGGTCCATACATGATGTACATACGAACCTCCTCTAAATACCTACAACCATGAAAGTTATGAATTTCTTCTTCCTATGTAACAGAAGTCTGTTCCTTGTAATTTACACCTATTGGTTTTACTTTGGACCTCTGGCAGAATATTTGAAGATAGCTATAGCCCATTTTCTGAGTGACATGTGCCAATTCTTAGTCCCCTTAATTCAAAAGGTATTATGGTAGGGTTCTGGCCTCCTTTTTTCCAGAAGACACCCCATCCATCCAGATGTACAAGTCATCTGATACAAATATAACCTAAAAGCTCTGTGTTCTCTAGGCAGCCCCATCACCACATCAGCTGTGACATCTCATATCAGACAGTTGGTGAGTTGACCCTAGTGGCAGAAGCTTGTCTTATCTTTGCTTATTTTCATTTTGCTTATTCCTGGTCACCATTCTACTCCGATGAGATTTTTTTCCAGATTTTGATTCTGATATCTAACACATTACAGTAACTGCATTTTCTAGCTTGACACCAACCACCAATGAGATCAGCATACCATCTCATACAAGTCTTCATCAACGTCACTGATAAAACACAGAAGAGGGGCAGGGAGAGGACAGAGCTTTGAGTTAACCACTATAGCCATTCATAAAGCCTGACATAAATGCAGGCATCAGCATTCTTAAAGAAGATCCTCATTAGAAAACTTTCCACTGAACACTAGCACTCCTCCCATTCACTTACTATTCTTGCTATGCAAGCACAGCACCATATCTTCCTTTGGGAGACAACC